CACATCATTAAAAGAACAAATATCACAGATAATTTACAATAAAAGCATTCATTACCATACTCTTTGGTCTTTTCGCTTCTTCATTTAAATTTCTATATTAATTGCAGATATTCCAGTAATAATTGCAAATGAAACAGTTATCAATGCACAAATTGGGAGTAACGCAGAAATGGTGGTCACTATTGTCACAGCTGTGCCTCCATTAAAAGCTGTTATTTGGTCAAGAAATGGTAAAACCTTTTTTGGCAGTACATTTAGATACATCGGTGGTAATATAAAAACACCTTCTATAAGTATAAATAACATTACAGCCTCTGATGATGGTACTTATCGGTGTTTTATTTACAATGAAGTTGGATCTACGTAAGTGGATATTTTTCTGTTTACATGGAGTAAGTACAATTGTTATCGTATTTATACATTGTATTATTCAGTGATTGTCGTGAAACAATCAATCAAACTTAGTTCATATTTTAAATAGCTTTTTACTTTTTAAAAACTCAATAGCTACAGATACCCTGACCCAACGGGGTTGTCGTTCGTTAAACAAAATTTCGTCCTTTGAAGATTTTTGGTAAACATCTGAAACAAGCACATACGTTCCGGAAAATATAATTTGGGAGTCATTTTAGCAATGTTAGAGAACTATTTTGTCATAAACAAGTAAACATAAACTTTACATTAACACAATATATCACGATGTATATTTTTTTATTCGGAACAGTTCCGTTTAGTCATTAATTTTGGTATTTTAATAACGTACACAAAGTCGTTTGGCACTTTTGTTTGTTCAAAGTTAAACTAACACAGAAATATTCAGAACGTTAACAAAAAAAACCTGGTTTGTAACTCATTTGCTTCGGAAAAGTGAACAGTTTATGTTCCTCTTATGACGCCCGACGTGTTGTGTCTATATAATTGTAAAAATCGGTTGATTAGTTAAAATCGATGAAAGCAAAAAAAAAAGGATGATAGTAATAAAGTTAAGAAAATTTAACATTGTCATAATTGATATAGATCTATATTTCAAAACGGTCAACGAAATAATGATTGCGTCATTAAATATTTCTGAAGCTTTACATCACCTTTACCATTAAGTATCTTTATTTCAATGGATTCCTTTCAAGCATCAACTATGTGAAATACACCTAACTAGAAACAAAGCTCTAGAACATCGTACCAAATACAAGATAACAACTTCATATTCAATGGCGTTGATATAAGCAACCAAAGGTCATCGTACGGCCTATAACACTAACCAAAGCATTTTTATTATATATATAAAACAAATTAGATGTATCGTTGATCCTGCTATACAAATTATGTTATTTCCTCGTTCGAATGTTGGTGGTTGATATGATATGTTATACTGTCCACTATTGTTCTCTAACTCCTATCCTTTTTATTACGTTTCCCAATGTCAATTTTGCCTTAAATCCCTTCAACCATTAATGTGATGCATGCGGAATTAGGCGGTTTTTCTGGATTTTACTATTTTGAAATGATTGTATCTGTGAAATTATAAATACAGCACATACCAATATTCGGTTTAGATGCAGTCGAACGAGGTCTAAATGCGTAATAAATAATACAAAAAAATCTGAATGCCAACAAGGTAGTCTCACAGTAACTTGAGTGACAATTTTAGTTCTGTCTAGTTTTACTTCTTGTCGAAAATATATTTCTGAAAATATCATGCCATTTAAAGTTTTCCGTTTTATAAATTAAACACCATGGAATGTTGGTTATTCTGTGTTCAAAATCTCACAGTACACCATGACTTCTAGCATGTTATACTCAAATTTGTTTTACAGGTAAACCATTCATTCGTATGTCTGGGAATAATGTAGCTGGAATAGGTAGCACGGTTAATCTGGAAGGTTTAATAATATCGACACCAAACATTCGAAAAAATTTGGAAGAGAGAGTACCAGTACAAGTGTTGTCATAGATTTTTACCGAAAGTAGTAAATTTAGAAGATCAGGAACAATATTTCATCCAATACTAACGATAACCAATTTAAAAAGGAACGATGAAGGTTTGTATATGTGTGCTGCAAGCCATGATTTCAGCGAGGGTGTAGGAGAAATATTTCTTTAGTATAGGAGGTATCATCTTTATAGCACTGATTCGACTTTCTGTGCCCTGCTGTATATAACTTCTATTATAGTGGAGTCACCAAGCCAACGAATGTTCAGCTTAATGGCAGACCCTACCTTCATGCTAAACTATGATTTTGCTTTTACAGAAACGTTTAAACTTCAATTTTGTCCTGGTCGTAGAATCCATAAATGGTGCAAATTTTTAAAACATAAGATAAAAGTTGGATAGTTGAGTTTTTAATTATGAGTATTTTTTTTGTTATTAATTTACTGATATATGATGTATGGAAATGTTCATATTCTTATGCAATGACTTCAAAGAAGAATTAAATTCCTGTATGCTTATCTTGGACGGAATTCTGCCATGAAATTTAAAAAATTACATGAAAACATATATATTGCAACGAATAACATGATTTTCTTGAGAAAAGTTATGAATAGAGAAGCAACATAGAGAATAAACATAACAATTTGACAATTAATAAATTTATACATGTCATATTGCTTAATGAAACGTTCAATTTCTTCACATATTTTTTCAGTTGTTCCTCTTGTAAGCAGCGAAGAAACCGACTACCAAGATAAAGTCGGCAATGATATAAAACTAAATTGTTCATATGATTCAAACCCGCAAGCAATATTACTGTACTGGCTCAAAAATGGTACCAGAATTATTCTTGATTTTCAAAGAGAAAAGTACAGCAAGAGCAATATTTCTTACCCAGACTTGACGATATTTAACGTCCAGCTGAATGACACTGGTATATATGTGTGTTGTGTCGGAAACGTTATTGGTGTAGGCTGCAGCGTTTATATATATTTAGATTGTAATAAAAGGTATGCTTATTATAAAGAAAATGGTGATTAGAAGATATCAATCAAATAGTGAAAGACATCAATAGAAGCTATCATATCATATTAGAGCCAAAAGGAAAAAAAACCCCAACTGTCCACTAAACATATCACAATTGGATCCTGCTTTATTAGATGTAACACCACCAAATAAGGCCCGGTCAAAAAAGAACATACTGTGGAAAGTAGTACACATTTAAAACAAAATATTTCCTACTCATAGGTTTGTATATCAAATTGTGTAAAATACATATTGTAGTAATTAAGGTATCAAATGAAAGGTGAAAGATTGGCGATCCTTGTAGAACACATATTGATTGATAATTTTGAATAATACAAAAATGTATGAAAAACTTATAAAATTGAAGGCATATATTGCCTGTTTCTCAAATATGAAGTATCTGGTTTGGTGTATCCAGAGTTCCAGAAACCAGTAAGGTCTGATGTGTAAATAACGGTATATTGATTTCGCCAACCTTCAGGTTGGATTTGTGCATCATCTAGGCTGGCAGACATTGACATTTTCTGCAAAGCTATTATTTTGATGCTTAATAACTCTGAGAATTGATAGATGAACTACGTGATATTGTATTTTTGGTGAATTTACGGGTCGGGGCAAAATACAATCTTAACGAAGATACCAGGCGTATAATTGTGTACACCAAACGCGGGTTTCGTCTACATACCATTAACTAATGACTCTCGAATAAAAACTATTAGAGAGCCAAACCAACTACAAAGTTGAAAAGCATTAAAAACCGAAAATTTCAAATAAGTCTAAAATCATGGACGGGAAATAGCATGGTACATGTATATTCAAGGTAATAATTATTATTGATCAAGACTGCTGAAAAAAAACTTGACGCAGGTAATCGTCAAAGTTTTTTAACCAGGTATGCATATAAACCAGAACTAAGTATCACATAAAACTTAGATACAATCAAAATAAGATCGTGAGAGGTGAAGTTTACGTAGAATCGAGACTGAGCTGTTTCGAAATGTATAGAATTTTGAAAAATGACATGAGCTTTTATAGATTTTTATGTTACAAAATAGATGAAAACACGTTTGGCACAAATGAATCAGTAACTTCTAAAAAAGTCTGAAACTATAAAAACAAAATGTGTTCACATATTGGAAGCCAAAGTAAAGATTTGTTTCCTACTTTCGATGCACCGATTGGGGACTTTCCTTTTTGAACTTTCCTCGGAGTTCAGTATTTTTGTGATTTTACTTTTTAATAGCTATAGATATATCAAATTACGTTAAATGTATTGTTAAGCTTGATATATTATAACAAGACTATATATATACTATAAATACTTTCGATAGAACTATAAATTTCTTTACTTTATAAAAACAACATTTTCTTGGTAACTTATTATTCAACTTAAATATTCTATTCTTTACAAAGTGTATACGATGGATGTTGTTTACTGTTGATTTTCCACCTTAATAATCATCTAGAATTTGGATGCAAAAATACCCTTTTTATGAAATACAATAAAACAACATTATATATCAAATAGCTACTGTCTCATTGGCAATCATTCCACATCTCCTTATTTCTATACTAACACGAATAATGAGAAGTAATTGGACCTTCCCCCCTCCCAAAAAAAAAACAATAATGATTAACAATGTTGATGCGTCCACTGCGTAGTTTTTGGTTTCATTTTCACCAGGTACACTCAAATTTTAAAACTTTGAGACCAAGGATGAAGGAAAAAAATATCACACTTGCTATCAAAAGTTTTTTTCATTATTACAGAAAATATGGAGGAGACGAATATTGATCTACTTCCCGTCATTATTGGAACCGTAGTAGGGCTGATTGATTTTGTTCTGGTGTGCCTTTGCTTAATAAAAAGATATGTTGCATACAAATAAAACAAGTCTTTAATGATTCTAAAATACGACATCAACATATAACTGCAAATTTAATTAAAAAAAAACAAAAAACAAAAAAAAAAACATCTGTACATTTAATTGCACTCTTCAATACATTACAAGAATAGGACATTTGTTTGTACGCTTTCTTTCAGTCAGGCTGAAAAATTATGAATATATTATACTTTTTGATGGTATGTGAGGTCGTTGTTTCAAATAAGAATAATAAACACTTTTTTGAAAATACTTGACATATGTATCTACAAACTCTCAAATGTTCCTATGCATCTGTCATACCTTCGTGACACATATGCTGTTGGTCCTACAGAAAAATCTCCAAAAACCATACATGTGTGCGTGAATATAAACTATATCTGAATAATATACTGCTTATTCACATTGAGAGTAAAAAATTATACACCCACAAGACTCACAAAAGAGGGGAATCACAATGCTTCATGTTCCTTTTGAGTAGCAGGAAACAGCATCTTCATATAATTTATAGAAAACCGAATTGACCCAAGTGTCGTTTCAAGCAAGGATACTTGTGAGTCTGCCTTACGTTACACGAAACGTCTTTCCAAATAACTATGTTTGTTCTATCATCAATACAACATTGGCTACGTAGAGGTTACATGTATATTGGTTAGGAAAGGATAAAAAAATGCTTTGTTGAAAGCAATTAGTTGATTTTAAACACAACTGTTTTTAAATGTTACCAACATTCTTTATTGACAACCTACTTCTTAAACCTGGTGAACGAGTTAATGAAAAGACAGTTTCCATATCTATAGGAATAATGACAACTCTATAAATATTCTCGGACGCCGAAATTCATTGGTTTTCAGCCACAAGAGTATAAAATTATACTATTAGAAGAGCAGAATGGTTGTATATTTTGATTTACATGATCGTTCTCCAAGTGCCTTAGATATCTGTGTTTTTTGTCTAAGTTGTTAACACCAGTTATGTCCTTGTTTATCCTTTGTTTTAATGATTAAATTTGCACGTTCATTAAGCGACATTTCTTTCCTGAAGATTTATGTGAACAGATATGTAATGTGTTGTTAGTTGTTTTTTGTTGTTCGTCGTTCCATCTTCTTTTTGTTTTGTCTTTGTGTTGTTTATCCATTATCTTTTGATTCTGAAAAAACACCATTTGCTTTAATATGTACGTATCAAATGTATTTTATTTTAAAATTTGACTTACTCTGCTTTTGTTTTAATCATCTGTAGTATTTTTGTATTGTTCTTAACGATAAGTATAAAAGCCTTCACGCAAAATTTGACCTGAGTTATAAAGCAAAGTTGAACAAAAAGTCTTTTATTTGACTGGCCAGTTTTTTGTCAACTGTTTACCTAATTGATCCTCCTCATCAAACGCGTTTGTTGTTCTGTAAAACGTATGTGCATGTTAATACAACTTAGTTAATACAACTAAATATGATATCAGTTGTCTACTACCTACCTCGGTTAATCAAAACCAACCTGATCAGAGTATATGCCAGTTAGACAGCACATGAATAACATAAAACACAATATAATGATAATGTTTGTATTTTCAGTCTATGTAAGATAGCAAAGACGCAATTACATACGAATCGGACAAGAAGACAGTTTGTAAGTAGTGGTTTTATTTTGGTATACACATTGATTTTAATGTTGTACTGACAAGCACATACAGTTAAACTTGTGGTCAACAGTGTTGATAGGTCAGAGAAGAAAATTTACCTTCATTTGAAATAAGGATACAGTCGAAAAAGGTTTACCAGTTTATTACACAGAAGCAATGACAACAGGTGAAGTCAAGGTTTGGGTTAGCAGCAGCCTGATACGCAACTATCCTTATGCCTAGGTCACACATTCTCGGATTTGAAGCCGGATTAGCTACGGATACGATTTGGCATCATTCGTGGCAATCTGTATTAGTCCGTATATCGCCGTAGTGTAGCCGTAGTCATACGTAGTAGTACTTGTATATCCTTGACAATTTTTTAACATGCGCAAAATTTGACCACGGATCAAACAACCGTACTTTATCCTTATAAACCGTAATAGTAATAGAACGTTCTGATCCGTTTCAGTCCCTATCAAAATCGTATTAATCCGTACTTATTCGTAGACCCGAAGGATTTCTACGGTTATTTCCGGAGAACTATGTACTTATACGGTTACATCACGTATTTATTAAGGGTACAATACGATTTCATTACGTTGAAATACGGATATCTAGGGATCAGCCAGGGTTCTCAAAGTCTGTCACGGTTTACTACGTTTCAACACGACAAAATACGGAATATTAGGGTCTACGACAAACAGACATAGGGCTTTTGTATAAATATTCCCTATTTATTCTGTATCTTGGCTAAAAGGTATACATAACATTATCCAACATGAATAATCAACAACTGATGCTTGCAATTAATTGGCTGGAACTGGATATTGATATGGCACAAAACGCCAGGGCAGTGGTCGAGCTTCTTGATGACAGACACAGAGGTGACCGGAGGCAGAGGAAATGGTCGACTAGGGACTGGCTTCTCCGAAGACCTATCCATGGCCAGTAGGTCCGATGACACAGTTATTGTTCTTTGGTCGAATATAGTCTCTAGTGTGAACAGTGTATAACTTGCAAATTTTTTTCATACGCTTTCCCAATTTATTTCTTGATATCTTATGCATGAAATATTAAGTAAGTGGATGAAATTACATTTTAAAAAAATTTGGTGCTGAAACTTTATGTTAAGTAGTGATTAGATTCAGTTAAAAAGGGTAAAAAATTAGTATGTCTGAAGCTGTCAAACTGTATTTTAGACCCTTTTAACATAGAATTGTCCGTATTTTGAGTTTTAGCTGGGAGACTGTTCTTAATTTTGATACTTTTTGTCCCAATAGTAGTACAATACACTGTAAAAATTTTGTTGACATAGAGCAGGTGTGATTTTTTAAGAATAGTCCATAATATGTGTCAAGAACTGCTACATGTCGTTGGTCCAAGGATTACGGAGAACACCACCTGGTTCAGAAAGACAGATAAATAATTTATTAAACAAAACAAAAAAGATCATCGATTCACTGCCATAAATAAATGATAAATCACAAGCTTAATTAAAATGATTTCCGGCTTAGAAAATGTGGCGGTTCGTACTTCCGTATCAGAACGTTTTCATCCGTACTAACCATTACTCATGTCGTAGCAAAGCAAACCACTGTTTATCCGCATTTCATACGCCCCGACACGTGTCGTTGTTTATTAAACCGTGTCATTTCCGTATTAAACCGTGTCGTACCGTAAGAATCCGTCTCACTCATGTCGCAAAATGACCCCTTTCCTACATTACCCGTGGTAGATACGTAAAAACCCGTAGTCATACCGTTGTGCATCCGTATCGTATCCGTATCGGACTAAGGAAACTGCATTTCCGGGATTATCTGTGAGATTTACTCCAAAGTGGAACCGGCAAGGTGATCCGTGAATGTGTGACCTAGGCATTATGTATATATATCAAATAGGTTTTCGTTTAAGACAAAGATATAAGAAAAAAACACAGATACAAGCTGTTGTTGAAGCAGTGACTTTTTTCTAATCATATTGTACAAGAAACATGTTTATATCAGTTATAAATAATAAGACTGTTCCTATTGATATACTGTGTTGTTAATGTTCATATGCACGAGTCATATCTGCACATATTCAGAATAACTGTTCTGATTAAAACCACCCTTTTCTACTCATTTTACCTTGGTAAATATATTGTTATATTTTTTTTCAGTGGAAGGAAAGTGTAATGAAACAATTGATTCAGATCACGTGTACAGTACTCTTATCATATACAATGCAACAGTAAGTGAATAACGTTTATTCATTTCTTGTTTATATGTCATATATAAATTTATGAGTAATTACTGTATATATGTTGTTAAATATCTTATATAAATTGTGAAAGTTTATCCAGAAAAGATTTTTTGACGCAACTTATTTATACATCTTTGTAAACTGTTATTTCTGATGTTGAACTGTACTAGTCACCTTTGAAAAAAAAACATGGACATTAAAACTAGTAGAAGTGGAAATTTGTAATGATTATGAATATACATAACCTTCCAATATTTGTTTTTGTAAACAATATACAAGTATGCCTTTTGCTGGAAAACTAGAAGCCAAAACAAAATAAATTTCGTTAATAAAATGATAGCAAAACACGAAATGAGAAAACGCTTTTAACACATTTACGTCTCCATGAGTGACGTTATTTGCAATGCTTACTGGAGAGTAGCAATGGAATTTTACTCTTCATTAATTCAGTAACTACTACAGGTTAATGAGACGCGTATTACAGGAATTGATTGCATGTTGAGAAATGATAACTATCTTCCATCAATAGTTCTAATGCAAAAAAGAAGATTAAAATACAAACATAATGACAAGCAACAATCCACAAAACACACCAAAGAAAACTAAATAAAGAGCCTCATAAACATTAGGGTTGAATGTCTTTGTTATAGTAGAACTAGAATATCAATTTTGATATGAAACGGTCATTTAGAGCTGCACAGGTCTTAAAATACTGAACAATAAATTATAATGTCATTTTCAGTCTTTCCATCTATCATCAGGTAACTTCACTACTGTTCAGGCAATTTGCCTGCAGTCAATTCAGATCTGTTATTTTTTATGTTAACACTGTTCAGTAAATTTTTATCTACTTGTACATATCAACATCAAACTGAATTGTCTGAGAAAGGTACTATACAGTCCTGAATGGACTGCAAAATGGTCCGAACAGTACTGAATTTATTGCGGCGAATAATTCATAAACTGGACTGAAAAACTGACCATGAATGAACAACTAATTGTTCGGTCGTTTCAGGTGATGTTAAGATCAACATGACTTTTTCAGAAAAAAAAAATCGTTTACTAGTGTCGACATTCTTTGATCCGCCAGTGACACCGATCCTGTTTCGAATGATTCAATGTATCGTTAGCGCCTTATATGACACTTAGAATTTCCTAAATAATAAATCATTGGCACATAAACATTTTCGTTTCCTTATACATGAATTAATGTTGAAGTTGAAATTAAACACAGTTTTATTTAGGAAGGATAATAAGTAAGACTGTTTCCGATATAAGCAAAAAAAAAAAAAAAAAAACAATAT